AGGTTTGGGGTTCCGAGGCTTTCGTATGATGAGAGACTCACGACAAGCTCAAACCTGGTAATGAGCATTTTATTTTCATTGGCTACCCACAGAAATCCTTTGGATATCTCTTCTTTAGACTGAGTGAGAATGTTGTCTTCTTTGCAAGGAGAGGGGTTTTTAGGCGAAAGAGAACTCATATGTTAAGAGGACAGTGGGAGGCGAATTGACCTTGAAGAGCTTCAAGAGTTAAGTGATGAAGGAATCTCAAACATTATCATTCAACCTGAGGAGGAAACTCTTGTTGAACCAGTTGATGATTCCTTACCTCTAAGACGTTCCAGTAGAGTTAGAATGGCACCTGAGTTTTATGGTTTCCATATTACTACAGATGGTGATACATTTATCAGTGATGGTAGACTGGTAAATTTAGTTGAGCCTAATAACTACAAGGAAGCCATGGCAGGCCCCGAGTCCACAAAATGGAAAGATGCTATGGATAGCGAGATTCAGTCCATGTGTAACAATCAAGTTTGGAACTTGGTTGACAATGTACCTTGTCGTAAGATGGTTGGGTGCAAATGGAGTTTCAAGAAGAAGACTGACATGGATGGGAAAGTACACACATATTAGGCATGATTGGTTGCGAAGGGATTTACTCAAACTCCTGGAGTTAACTATGACATTACCTTCTCACCAATGGCCAAAATCAAGTCTATATGGGTTATGCTAGCCACAACTGCATTTCATGATTTTGAAATGTGGCAAATGTATGTCAAACCACTTTCCTAAATGGGAAGTTGGCTGAATATGTTTACATGAGTCAGCCATAGGGTTTTATCGATGTGAAGTTTCCTAATAGATTGTGTAAGCTTGAGAAATCCATTATGGATTGAAACAAGCATCTCGCAGATGGAATCTTTGTTCCGATGAGAAAGTCAAAAAGTTTGGATTTTTAAGAAGCAAGGATGAGTCATGTGTGTATGTCAAGGCTAGTGGGAGTATACTTAGATTTCTGGTATTGTATGTAGACGACATACTTCCCATAAGAAACGATGTTCCAACCTTGCCGGAGGTTAAGTCCTGGCTTGGGAAGTGTTTCGCTATGACGAACCTTGGGGAAGCTGCTTACATTCTAGGGATAAGGATATTGAGAAATAGGAGTAAAAGAATAATAGGACTTAGTCAAAGTACCTACTTGGACAAGGTGTTGAAATGTTTCAGCATGGAGAATTCCAAGAAATGAGAATTACCTATCTAGAGAAATACCAAACTGAGTAAGACTCAGAGTCCGAGTACCGATACCAAGATAGCATAAATGAGTTGAGCGCCATATGCTTCGGCAGTTGGATCAATCATGTATGCTATGACATGTACTCCCCCTGATGTGGCCTTTGCTTTGAGCATGGTTAGCAAATATCAAGGGAATCCTTGTATAGCTCACTGGACTGCGGTAAAGAACATTCTCAAGTACCTCCGAAGGACAAAGCACTGGGTCCTTACCCTTGGCGGGAGTAATCACTTAAGAGTGACAGGGTATAGTGACGCCAGCTTTCAGACGGATAGAGATAATTTCTGCTCTCAGTAGGGCTGGGTATTTACCCTAAATGGAGGAGCAGTAACTTGGAAAAGTTCCAAACAGGAGACTGTAGCTGATTCAACATGCGAATCAGAGTACATAGCAGCAAGTGAATCGTCGAAGGAGGCGATATGACTAAAGAACTTCATCAGAGACCTTGGAGTTGCACCAACTAGAAAGGATCCTATGGAGATTTTCTGTGATAGCAAGAGTGCGGTCGCTTTAACCAAGGAACCTAAGGACCATGGCACATCGAGACACATCGACATAAAATATCACTTCATAAGACATCGGATAGAAGAAGGACTCCTCGTAGTAAAGAGGTTATCGTCAAAAGAGAGCCCAACAGATCCACTCACGAAGGGACTGAATAGGGTTAAGCACTTGCAGCATGCTAGGAGTATTGGGCTGAAGGAGGATATTAGTTTTAGTGATTAGATAGTTGTTTAGAATGTAACATCCCGTTTAAAATAGAATAATTAAATAATAAATATGGAACCCCGAGATGTAATTTTATTATTATTTTATAGCCAAAATCAAATAATGATTAGCGGGGTATTGGTTTCAGGGAGCCAAATGTCATGATTTAGAGTTTCGGGGGTTAAAGTGTAATTTCGGGACTTATTTTGGAAAGGATTTTAGAAGTTAGGGGGTAGTTGGTATCTTTTGGACTTATTATGAAAGGGTTTTGGATGGTTGGGGCTGTTTAGTAAATATTTCAGACTTGTTTTGCAAGGAATTTCCGATGGAAGGGCTAAATGGTAAATTAAGGACTTGAATTGAAAGAAAGGAAGATGGAGGGGTTGAGTTTTTTACTATGAAAAAAATGTCTGAGAGGGGTCGGGTATATAACCTCACTACTCGTCAAACCCTAACCCTAGAGATGTAGCCGTCACTTGTATCTCCAGTCGCCATCAACTATACCATCACCAGACGTCGGGTGTCGCCGGGAGGAACCACCGAGACCGATGTTGTATTGGGGAGGAATGATCGGCGGTGTTGGGTCAAGTTTCGTCCCTGCCATTGCCGCCAAATGGTTTGTTTCGTCGAGTTTTTCTGCTGCCACCTTCGTTTCTTCGATCTCCAGCGCCGCACCACCACCCCTCTCATACGCGTTTTTCGACTAGTGAAACTATTCATTGTTGCTGCTACAACTCGCGTCGCCGCCCACTCTGTCTCCGCCCTTCGCTTGTTGCGTTTCAGCCACGATCACCGCCACTATTCCATTCACTGCCAGCGAAGAATAAAGATGTTGCCACCTTGTGTCACCGCAAACCGTCGTCAGCCACCGCTGTGGTTCATGGTTCGTGATGAGGTTGTGTGTGCTTGTGGTTCCAGTCGAAAGAGAGAGTCACGAAGAACCACCATGGCGGTCGGCCATGGTGGCTGCCACCGTTAACGTTGCTGCTACCGCCGCTTCACACCATCGTTGCCGCCTTACGACACCAGGTGGGTGGCTGGATTCCATGTGTGAACAGAAGACATATATGTGAGTGTGTTTATTAAAGTGAAGTGGTGTTTGGGTGTTTCTTTGGCCGGAAAAGTCACCACCACCTCCGTGAGGTGGTGGCTGCCACCATATACCACCACCGGCCACCACAAGGGGTGGTTGTGTGTGTGTTTTTATTAGTGTGTGCGTGTGTTATTTGGATTGTGTTGTAAATTTTAATCTTGTCAAAATAATCAATAGAAAAACTCATAACCACCACCGTGAGGTGGTGGCTGCCGCCACCATTCGCCGTGTTGGGTGGCGGTGTACCTCGTTTGCGTTTTGATTCGTTTGGGATGCTTGGACAGAATGAACTTGATGAAACCCTAGTGAAATAGTGTTGTTGCCCTTTTAAGTGCTTGTAATTTTCTTTGTCTTTGTTTTTGCTAAGTCGGTGTCTTGTTATTTTTTGTTTAATAAAAGTTATTGGTTCGAAAAATAAAAAGGAAATATAATAATAAACGACTCATATAATCGTTAAGAAGATGGTTAAAAAGAAAACTCATTTTATAATTTAAACACTTTATATAGTTTTTAATGTATTTTTATCGTGGCAATCAAAACATCCAACCAAAACAAGTTACTTTTACCTTACATAAACGGATTGAAACACCAATTTTCGTTGTGATTTTTAATAATTTAGTTGACATCTAAAAATAATCGTTAAGCATCACAATCACATTGCAAAGCAAAACCTTGGTATTGGTTCAAATATAGGCCAATCATAAAAGATATTTTTAACCATTCTGATTTGGTGTTGTGTATATGTTCCAGATGTTTTAGTAAAATTAAAATTTAAAAAATAAGTGGTTTATAATAATTTTTTATTGTATAAAACAATTTATATTTTACACGTTGTACAATCTTTAAAATTCAAATTATTATATAGGACAAAAATTCATTATATACGGATCCTCTCCAAATAAATTAAATATGATTACTCGAAAATCATTACGCGTTTATATATACTAAGTGTGAAACACATGTATTACATGTGCTTAATTAAAAAAATATATATAAAATTTTAACAATTTGAAAATTTTGAATTTATAAGAAAAATATGAAAAATTTGAATTATTAAAATTAATGAGATTTTAATGTATTGATTACATTACATATATAAACTTTTTCTAATAAATACTTTATATATATTACCTTACACATTAAATGTAAAATTTAAATTAAATAAAATGAAAAATACAATAAAATGACAAGTGGAAAATAGAAAATTTAAAAATTCTAAAAAATGTCATGTATCCAAATGAATAAGAAAAGGACATGTGGCAAAAAAACCTTCATTTATTATAGTATATATATATATATATATATATATATATATATATATATATATATATATATATATATATATATATATATATATATATATATGTATAGTAGCAATGTAATGTAGTTAATTTTTTTTACTGGGTAAAATCGGAATAAGGTCACGGTATCATATTGTAAGATGATAACTATTTATTTGTTTGTTTAAAAAATTAGACAAAATTGCAAAAATGATCCCTATGGTATGCAAATTTTCAGAGGTTTGCTTCAAATATCGACTTATTTGGTTTCATGGTCATTTTCGTCTGGTTTGTATGTGGAAATAGTCTGACGAATTAACTCCCGTTAAATTGTTGTTGTTAACCCCATATGTGCCTCCCATGTGAGGGTATTTTTGTTTTTTCAACTTTTAGGGACCATTTTTGCAGATGGAATGTCAACGAATACTATAATCTTTTACCCCCTTATTTACGATCCGAAAGACACGTCAACTCCTCACCTCCCTCACTCTTCCTTTTGCTCCATTAGAACCTACAAAAAAACCCTCTTTTCTTATCCAAAAACCCTAATCGAAGCAACAGAGAGAATGTGATTTCATACGTTAATGTCGAAATGGTGTATGTAATGTGGTAGGTCAGACAAAAAAATGAAGTTTTGGATGTATCATCCATGTATGGTAAGTTGCTCTGTTTTCTTTAACTTCCTATAAAACATTTTTCCCCTTGATTTCAAACTAAAAAACGCATAATTTTGACTTTGTATTCACGCAAAAATTTGACTTTGTAGCGGGTATACCCACATGGTTTAGTATTAAGCTACATCACGGTGGGAAGTTCACTAAAATAGCTGATAAAAAGAACATTGGAGGTGAAGTGTGTTATATTGATTATGTGGACATAGATGAGTTCCCTGTACATGAACTGGATGCCATAATGCTTGACCTAGGTTATCCAGACCCACGAATGACTGGAGTAGTTGATGTCTCAGACTCCCCAGTGATATACTACCATTTTAATATACCTAATGGCGACTTTCAATTTGGACTTAGAGCTTATGCAAATGATCAAGATGTTATCAATCTATCTAAATACATTCCACATAACAAGTTGATTGAAGTGTACACAAAACATGGGAAGACAAATTTATTGACTTGCTTCATGTCTCCAAATGCAAAGGGTAAAGTTGTGATTGAGGAATTAACTGAAAATGATGATCAAGAGGCTGAAGTTCATGTGGAATCTTCATTGAGAAATATGAACCGTGTTAATGATGAGCCTATTGGTGAGTACATTCTTTAATACTTTTTGGGAGTACAATTGATGCTTTCTCACCAGAGTATAGAAGGGGTAGAGTTGAGAGATCTAAACCATGTGAAAGTTCTTATAGCAAGAGACTCAATTTAGATGATATTAATGAATTAAAGGAAAAGATTATCGATCAGGATGCTACAACATGTGTCATGGATAATATTGGGGATGAGATGACTGGTGTTCAAGATCCTATAACTATTGATCAAGGATGCTACAAGCAAGATACTTTAAAACTTGATAATATTGGTGATAAGATGACCGGTGTTCAAGATGCTACAACTATTGATCAAGGATGCTACAACACCACCTACTAATGATGATGAATAATTTAATGGGTTGTTTGATATTCTTATGGATAATTTAATTAGAAGTGTAGAGTATAATATTGAGTATGCAGAGGATGATGCAAAGTATGAAGAAGATGATGCAGAATATGAAGATGTGGTTTCAAACTCTGAAGATGTTGATGTTCTAGAGAAAGTGAAACACTTTGAAGATGAAGATAAAGTGGACTACATAATAGATGAGGAGTTTAGGGACCACTTATGGAGGTGTGCATCAGAACCCACCATTCCTAAATTTGAGCATTTGATGAACGATTTTAGCTAGTATGATAGGGAGGCATGTGAATGGTTAAAGCAGAGTTCTCCTACACATTGGGCAAGGAGTCATTTTTTTAGATAATTCTATATGCTTCAATATACTTATTATATTGTTCAGTTATTTATGATTGTATTAATTCTTTGGTATTGTCATATACAACAGGAAGAGCAGTTTATGATGTGTTGATTTGAAACATGTGTGAGGTGTTTAATGGGAAGATAGAGAAAGGAAGATAAAAACATGTCATTGGATGTTTAGAGTATATAAGGGAATACCTAATGAAGATGATATGAAATATCGTGAAGGAAATGAAAAAGGCTAAAGGTCCACTTACACCAAAAGCAACAAACATCTTAGATGCCCGAAAAGCAGTTACTTCACAATATATTTCTTGGTGGAATGGGGGAAACAAGTATTAGGTAATTGGAGCTTTGCAAGATCAACATGTTGTGGATGTTAGGAAGCAAACTTATCGTTGAAGAAAATCGGAATTCATTAGAAGTCCTTGCAGACATGCAATTGTAACGCTCAATGAAATGAGCAAAGATTCAGAGGATGATCTTGACATTTACAAATAGGCACACCAGGTCTATTGGCTAGAAACATGGAAAAAAACATATTCATTTAAGGTGGAGTCAATTAAGGGGAGAGCCATGTGGCCCAAAAGTGATTGTCCAACAAAGTTAATTTGTAACATCCTGATGTTAAGGTGCTTCTAATTTTGGACATTATAATTTCATTATATTGCATTTTTGGTCCCTAAGTTAAGAAACAGTGCAAAGGGTCCATAGGGGCATTTTGCTAAAAGTTGGAATTTGATGAGTACGTTGTGTGTACGTGTGTACGCGAAGCGTACTAAGGCGCACCTTAATACTTTGGGTGTACACTATGTACGCAGGGCATACGTGGTATGCATGCAAACCTTAATTTTAGGGCTTTGGCTCATATGTAAGCAACCTTATGGACTCATATCCTCTTCTTTCATGACCTCCTTATGTGAGATCAAACCCTCATGCAACCCCAGAGCAAGAGAGAGCAAAATTTGAGTTTTTAAGAGAGTGTTGGAGTGGTTTTGAAGGGAGAAGAAGGTGTTGAGAAGATCTTGGAGTTGACAGAACTTTCAATATAGGATTTTTTCTTGGTTTGCAACATCTTAATGGTATAAAGCTTTCATCTTTACCACCCTATCTTGTAGATATAGGTTTTTGCTATGTTAAGTCATCTTTTTGGTCCCAAAATGATGATTCATGAACATAGCATGTTCTTGACCCATTAAGCTATCCTTTCAGATCCTTGGAAGGGTCTTGAGTCATAAAAATTGGTTCCAAATGGTTGTTTTGCTCCATGCATCATTTAGAAGGTCCTAATGGATTAAGAAGTTGAGTTAAGCACTTAATGCACATGTAAAGTCTTAAAGTTGGAAAATCTATGACTCTTGAGGGTATTTTAGCCATGGATAAGAAAAATGGACGTGAGTGCTTAAGATATTAAGCACTTAATGTGATTTTTGGGCTTCTGGGAGTACCCCTACGTATATGGAGTATGTCCTGCATACGAGTTGAACCACCCCGATGATGGTCAACATATGAGTAAACCCAACGTACATAGGGAGTACGCTTCACGTACTCACTCTGTGGTGACTCGGTTGAGTTGACTCGGTTGGGTTGACTGAGTCGAGTTAGTTGATTTGACCAGTATGACTTTGAATTTGACCAAGTTTGACATAAGGGTATCTTGGGAATTCTTGGGATTTTGATATATATTGGTCACTTTCTTGGAATAGGTGTCATTTAGAGCTGAGATTCATAGTAGAGACGTCATCAACTTATATCCAGTCTGTGAGGCGAGTTTTTCTCACTATACTTATGAGTCGAAGGCACCATGGTCGGCCTATTGGTTTGATATCATGTTATTCACTGATATGTTGAGTACAGATTATATGTGCATGATTATGCTAGTTTTCGATATGCTAGTCTGGTAGATCAGTACGATTACCTGTGTTTTTGTCTGCATTATTATCTGTATATGTTTGTTATATGTTATATGTTATATGTTGATATATTATGGTGGGTTGAGGTTTTACTGCTTCGTGCAGTAGCCAACAAGCCATGGATCATTCTAGATATGAGTTGAGGGACAGGTAGGGAATTCCAAACTCATATCGAGGGCTCGGGAGCATTCCATATATGAGATGAGGACAGGGTGGTATTCCAGACTCGTATTGAGGGTTTGATGGTTTTTCAGTCTGATGATGGATTTGGTCAGGGAGCAATCCAGACATAAGTTGTAGGCCCTGAGGGCAAGTCAGACTTACATTGTGGGCTCAGGGGTAATCTTGTATTTTAGCTGCAGACCAGCACATGATATTATTGTATATGCTATCTATTTATGTGTTGGTACTTTGGGGGAAACTCACTAAGCGTTGGCTTATAGTTTTGGGTTATGTTTCGGGTACTTTGGATGACTGTTGGAAGACGAATGTGTGCCCATACACATCCTCTTGTGTATGAATTATAATTTTTGTTGACTCTGATGTTTGGAAAATATTTTGAGCATTATGATGTGTAAACAATTTATGAATTGGGTTGATTTTAAAAGTTTAAATTTCTTATGATTTTCATTGGTGTTACAAATTGGTATCATAGCCTTGTTTTGAGTCAATTAGAGGAACACTCGTGTGAATCCAGTCTCAAACTAAGTAAAAGGTTTTAAAAATGATTTTCCAAATTGTTTTCAAAATAATCAAAGAGGATGTGATGTGTACGATCAGCTGGAGCTAGTAAGTAGACCCCAAATTACCACACTTTTATTTGATATTGTCATATGTTATAATAGCATACTAGTGATAGGCTATAGATCTTCAGGAATTGCATGATAGAATTGCCTGATTATATGATGTCTGGTAGCCTAGGGTTCTGTCTTATATTGAATTAACATCATAACTGTAGTTGCTTAGTGTATGCATCATAGTTGTACATAACTAAGATTTTATAGCTTGAGAGTATTTGGTTTAGCCTTATTTCTTATTCTTGTTTTTATGAAGGGCTTAGGGTAGAATCAAGTATTCGGCTATCTATAGGATCCAGTGATATCTATGATTAGCATACATGAGTTATGTAGAGTTGGTGGAAGTTTCATGGATGATTTGTGTGGGGTTAGTTGACCAAGTCGTGTAATGATTAGCCTTCCTCTAGGGAAGTGAAGATTGAGTGTATGTGTATGCTAGTGTGTATTGTTAGGGTTGTTGTAACGATCCTCTGAGACAAATATGGGTAGGTATGGAAGGTGGTATACGCCTGTACTACTGGAAGAACAAGACCCGTAAATGTAGCAGGGAAGTCACAATCCCTAAGGCTTTGTTGGGAGTTGGTTCCCATGGTATGATATGCATTTTTTTATGATATTTCCCTGCTTTATTTTCAGTATGGTGATGACGCTACAATTTGAGGCAGGATCCGGATCAGGATCAGGGGCAGATGGATAGAATAGGCCATTATTAACTAAGGATCGGGTTAAGGAGATCCACTAGGAAGAGGTGTTTCCCTCTTTCGAGCATAGTTGTTGGAGATGTTTGGTTCTATTAAGACCATTATGGTGGAGTAATTTGATGAGCGATACGCTACACTTTCCGAGGTTGCTGCTGCTACAGCCACCGCAGCCATTTCTACTGTCGGGATTGGCATTGGGAGAGCCTTCCCGTATCGCGACTTCAATAATATGAAGCCTAAAACCTTTTGATGGAGTGCAAGATCCAATCATAGCCATGAGGTGGTTGTATGACATCGAGGGATGCTTCTTCACTTTCTCTTGCCCAGCTGAACAGAGTGTCAAGTGTGCTCTGAACCTTCTTAGGTCCAAAGCGAAGGATTGGTGGAGACTTTTTACAAGCTCGTATTCTCCCGAGCAGAGGACTGTTGTGACTTGGGAGCAGTTCTCAAAGATGTTCCGTTCTGGATATGTTCTACTGGTGGAGCGTGAGAGGTTGGCCCAGGAGTACTTGGATTTGAGATAGAGGACTGACTTGGTGAAGGAGATCACCAAGATGTTCACGAAGAAATCCATGTTTTTCCCTGAGTTTGCTGCTTCTGAGTAACCTCAGATGACCAAGTACTTAAGCATTCTCAAGATGGATATCCGATATTTTATATCCAAACAACTTTTTAGATCATTGGTAGATTTGCAGGAGGCCGCTAAGCAGCGGGAGATTGAGATGGAGCTCCATACGAGGGAGAATAGGTAGGCCCCGACTAGGGGTGCAAACGAGTCGAGCCGAGCCCGAGCCTGGTCAGGCTCGGCTCAGGCTCGTTTAAGTTATACAAGGCTCGAGCTCGTTTGTCGTTTGATGTTCCTATAAAGCTTAAGCTCGACTCAAGCTCGTTAAGAAGCTCGTTTACTAATACCCGAAATCCATAATTTCCTAAATATGTTTTTATTTAAATATTTGAAAATAATAATAAATTATATTATATAAAGGCTCGTTTAGGCTCGCGAGCCTAATCGAGCTTAGTGACATAGGCTCGAGCTCGAGATCGTATAATAAACGAGCTTAATATTAAGCTCGAGCTCGGCTCGGGCTCGTTTAAAACCAGTTTCGAGTCGAGCTTTTAACAAGTCGATCCCGAGTAGCTCGCGAGTAGCTTGGCTCATTTGCACCCCTAGCCCCGACACAATATCAACCTGCGCCGAAGTGGTTCAAGGATGCTAATGTTAGATCTGGGGGTCATTTGGGCTGCACTTGTGGGATGTGCAACAAGGTTCATGACGTTGCTTGGCAGGTAGGGCCATGTGGAGAGGGTTTCCTTCAGCATGCCCAATACCATACACAAGGATTTTCTACCATTGTGACCAGGTTAGCCATGTAAATACCAAATGTCCCTTGCTTGCTGCAAGGTCGGTACAGGCTCCAACGCTGGCTACGTTGAGGATGAAAAATGGGAGTCAGGGCAGGGTGGACCCCTTGAGGGCTCGAGGTCGCGTTTTCTAGCTCACGGCAGACGAAGCCAGGG